TCAAAATCAACAACCACGCGCAATTTGACATCAAGTACATGAAGTGCATGACCATATTTATAGAAAAGCAAATAACACAATATACCACAACCCGGAAAGACCATAACTAAGGCACAATCAACCATTCCACACCCCAATCACCATCTCGCTCAAATTTCCCTATAAGCCCAAATAGAACTACACCATGTGTGAATATAACCAATGAATCACAACCCCTCGTAGCATGAAAGACTAACACATAGAACATATCAGATACGAATAAAATAAATTCTAACTGAATGGCACATTCCTCAAAAATAGCAATACAGAGTAAATAAATCCGACCCGGTGTAGAATACACATCCTCATTGGGCCTACCAATGGGCCCCCAAATCAACTCCGGTCATCCTCGAATGGACAAATAGCCCTCCAAAAGTCCAAAACGACCTAACCATAACACATAGCACCATCTATCTAACTTTGGCCACATCTTCACAGTCCACAACCCTGAAATAATATGCTTTTGAGAACTCCCAGTCCCCAAATCTACATAACACAAGAATGACCATAGTTGATCCCAACTCCACCACTTGAACGACTAACACATCTATCATACACAATCACCCCATGAGAAATACTTCTATTATTCCCCTTCACCATATGGAAAAAATCTGAATATCAGTTGTCGATCAACCAGGCGAGTACCGCAATACCAATGAAGCATCTGAAGTCAGAACACATTGCGCCTTCTGAAATACGCACCCTTTTCAGGCAATACCAAGTAGTTATAGCATTCATATAAACATCAAAAACCGTCCATGCTGTCCAACATTCACGACCTTCACAACGTAACTGAACTGCCACCTTGTACATGCAAATTTCAAGCCCATAGGACACACCGCATCTATCATGCCACCATGTAAAAAGCATGAGAATCTTATTATCAACTCCGAGTCACAAGTAGAATACAAACCAGATCAATTAGAAACCTTCCACTTGATCCTATCTAGGAGAAAACCACAAGTGCGCAATATGCTCCTCATGCCAGTAGGAAATATCCATCTTAAATCGTGGTAGAACCATAAAGAACTTTTCGAAACCTATTTGCATATAACCAAGTCATCAGAACTGAATCTCTCTAACTCCACAAAGCCACACAGGTCGCCAAACCAAAGAGAATTTTCACAAAATACATGTAGAGACTGACCACATCATATGTACCCAAAGAACCGATCATATCCATTACAGCGTTGATCCAACCTACTACCAAGCTGCCCTATTTATTCAAGTTTCTTCTGAATTACCCTCAAGTTGATACTTCTCCTTGCCATAACACCACGATACTTATCCAAAGCTCACCACAAGAGATTCTATCATAAATACACACCGCCCTAAGGGCCATAAGCCATAGCGTTTCCTCTTAAGCACCCCAAAAGTACAACAACCGAGACACCCACTCTGAATAAACCTTCTGTGAATCTAATGTCGTTTCCTTCACCTTCCTCATACTAGAATGTAGAGTCCATAATGATACAAAAATATCGCGAGTCTCGACACCATCTAATGTAAACCTCATATTCTACCCATATACAAATCAAAAAAATTCTCACTTGCTACATATAAATCTTGAATCCATTAGAACCTTCTCAGGAGTCATCCACTCTACTCAAATCTCAATTGCACCACCCAAGCAGACCAAACGACTTGTGCCCCATTAGCACAACAACACCCAAGAAAGTAACTCTGTCTTAATGCAACCGGGTAAATTCCTACTTTATGCGTACTACATCCGTCAGAAATAACAACTCAAATCATCCCACACATCTCGCAGTGTGACACATCCACAGAAATCGGGCATCCAATATTCATTTTCACATCTTAAGCAAACTCTTCCCGTCACATTCAACCATCTGAACATATCCCGCAGTCATATCCTACTCATCATATAGATATCTAACCGCTCACCGGTCCACCAGTCCCACTCATAGGGATACAACTGTACATAGAAGTCCAAAAGCACATGCACACACAACTGAAACTATCGAGCCTAAGTTGCGGTCTGAACCAGGCCTCAAGTCCTCCAAACTAGCCCATCATCTAAATACAAAAAACAGATCTCACACCTTATCCATGGAATCCAAAAATCGTCGAGGTATAGCTGATACCGAGCCCTCACATGTGCATACAAGAGAGTGGAAGGAATTCAAAGATATAAGCTTCAAGCCTAATCAATGTTGCACGATAAGGAAATAAAGATAGGAAGTTTTTCCGAAATGCCCTGTAGCCTCTCGAAGAAAGGTATGGACGTCATCATATTGATCCTCAAGACTCTACTAGACACTTGCTTATGACTCCTAGAACCTATGAACCTAGAGCTCTGATACCAACTTGTCACGATCCAAAATCTGACTAGTCGTGATGGCACCTAACCCAACCCTCTAGGTAAGCTAGTTTAACAATAATCCAACTTCAAATGAGATTTACTGAGAAAATAATAATGAAATGATTGAACTCTTATACAACTTCCCAAAGACTGGCAGTACAAATCATGAGCTTATAAGATTTAGAGTTTACAAAGCTAGTATAAAATAAATACATCATCTGTTCGAAATATACATAAACAGATTCATAAATCGAAAGCTACAAAAAACAAGAGGCAAATATAACCTAAACACAGGTACATCTTCAATGCCAGCTCCCGCCACACACATCAACATCAGCTCTAAAATCTGCACGCAAGGTGCATAAGTGTAGTATGAGTATGACTGACCCCATGTACTCAATAAGTAACAACCTTAACCTTAGGTTGAAAGTAGTTATGAGCTTGGACTACGATCATAGTCCGACACCAACATCTAAGAACAACTCGTAATATTATAATAAAAATAGTACAAGTAATACTCAAAGATATGATACTCAGCTCATTCATAGATACATAAAATATATATGTTTTTCAGGTATAACAGTAAAACCCAAATATTTCACCGAAATCATCAAAATATGAGTATGCCAGAAAAACTGAGATTCTTCCCAAAACATTCGACAACAGATAACATGTTTCATTATCAGATGGCATGAGGAAAGTACATCTCTATGCCTGCATGTCAATGTGCATGTGAAGTCATGAATGTCACAATATCGTACAACATGCGGAAATGCATCCTATGCCAACATGCCAAGTATGCATGTCAAGTGTAATGCACCACAATGATAAACTCATGTGCTCATGCTCTTGTAGCAGTCCACCCAGTCATTCAGTCCTCCCAGCCACTCGATCCTCCCAATTACTTGGAACTCGTGCTTGGCACTCGCACTCGACACTCACACTCAGTAGGTACCTGCGCTCCCTGCTGGTATGTCAGACTCCGGAGAGGCGGATCCTGTCCAAGCGCTAATATGAGCTAATCATGGTATAAATCAATAAAGCATGTTGTGGCGCGCATCCCGATCCATAAATAACTCTCACAATCAGGCCCTTGGCCTCAATCAGTCATCAATCTCTCTAGTCTCTCGGCTCACAAATCTCATGTCAATCAGCCCAAAATATTATAATATTATGTGACAACAAATGATAACAGAGACTAAGATATGATATGCAAATGAATGAATATGATTGAGTGTGTAATTTCAAGTTAAACAAATAACTCGACAGCAGAAATGACCTCAATTGGTTTCTCCCAACAGGATGAGCAAATACCCTAAACATAATTTATAACATGGATCACATGTCAATTACTCTAGCAAGTAAAAATTTCATGGATAGAAACAAGATTAGGTAACTACACAATACCATAGAATCAAACCAGTCATAATTTTCACGGTGCACGCCTACATGCCCGTCAACTAGCATGTGCGCCACCTCAACACCAAACACATAACACATATATTCAGGGATTCATACCCTCAGCACCAAGTTTAGAAGTGTTACTTACCTCGAACAAGCCAAATCCAATACCGACGAAGCCAAAAAATACTCTAGAAATGCCATCTCATATGTACCAACCTCTGAACGGCTCACAACTAGCCAAAAGCAACTCAAGAATATCAAATAATGCCAAAGAAAACAAACCCAATCGATAAAGGTTGAATTTTAATCAAAAGCCCAAAGTCAACCAAAAAGCCAAACTCGAGACCGCACCTCGGAACCCGGCGAAACTCACAAAATACGATAACCCATTCAATTAGGAGTCCAACCATACTAGTTTCACTCAAATTCGACTCGGAATCAATGTTCAAAACACAAAAGTTCACTTTATGAAATTCTAGACAAAAAAACCCCAAATTTCACTTTGAAATCATCAATTAAATGCCAAAAATGAAGATGGATTCATGAACTATAACCAAAACTGAGTATATAACACTTACCCCAATTCATGTGGTAAACATCGCCTCCAAATTTGACCCAAATTCGAGCTCCCCAACCCAAAATATGACTAAATGAACAAACTCTCGATATTAAATATTTCTGCCCAATTGTTCTGCCTTGTTTCTTATGCCAAACAATTCTGAATATCACTATGGATGCCTCTAATGAATTCCTTGTGAAATTCCAGTCCATTTAGACTTTTGAATCACTCCATTTGGCACTATAAGGATGAAGATATGTTGGTTTTAATATTTAGAAATAGTGTAGATTTTAAAAAATGAATTCAGTGGCAATATCGTAATTAATCTAAACAAAACTATCTACCCAATTCTTAGTAAAATGACCATATTCCTCATACGATATCGAAACTTGATGATTCCAGTTTTTATGGTTCCAAAATTACGATACGGATCTAATGCTTCAATCAAAACAAAAATTATAGCTCATTTGCTTAATGTGGTAACATTTATGCTTGAAGAAACGACATCGAAACATCAATAACGAGTGCAACACAACCCAAAATTATCTGAAACTCACCCGAGCCCCCCGGGATCCCGTATAAACATACCAACAAGGCCCATAACATAACACAGACTTATTAGAGGCCTCAAATCTCGCATAACAACATCAAACCCACGAATTGCACATCAAATCAAACTCAATAAACTGTGAATCTTTCAAATTCCAAACTCATGCCGAACCTTATCAAATTAATTCGGAATGAACTCAAATTTTTCACACAAGTCCCAAATGACATAATGAAGCTATTTCAATTCCCGAAACTACAATCTGAACCTGATATTATCAAAGTCAACTCCCAGTCAAATTTATGAACATTCCAACATTCGCCAAATAATGCTACTACCTTCTAGAAATATCAAAATGCAACTTAAAGCTTCCTAGTTGAGAATCATTCTTCCAAATCAAATTCGGAATAACTTGAAAAGTACAAGTCATAATACATCATACGATGATGCTGAAGACTTCAAAGAGCTGAACGGAATGCAAATGCTCAAAACACCGTCTGGGTCGTTACATATTGCCTACATTATTAGCGTCTACATCAATTATATTTTCATAATAATTATCTATTTGCTGTAAATAATTTATTTAGCTTTTTCTTACAACAATATATATATCTGGGGTTTCAGTTGGTCTAATCTTCATATAATTATATAAAGCATTGATTAATTGGTGACAATTAGACATCTTAATAGAAGGATTCAAAATAGTACCAATTAAGTAAATAGGAGAAATTGGAAAGAAATATTTTTTGAATTTTTCTTGCATTTTTTCAACAGCATCCTTATATTTTTCTTTCTTCTTAAAATCATAGAGTAGAAAAGAAACTTTAGCTATATGTACTAAAATCATAGTAACAGTAGGGTATAAACTCCAGAAAACTCAATAGTAGCTATATAAAAGTAATGTAAAAATTTAAAAACGTTATTAATAGCCTCCCAAGTATTATGTAACGACCCGACCGGTCGTTTTGAGTATTACAACTCTATTTCCCCATTTACTGCTCAAATTATACTTTACAGTTGTTGTGTGAATTGTCAAGGTAAATGGTTCGGGTCCGGTGAGGTTTGGGATTGAATTGGAACAATTAGTTCCAAGGTTTAAAGCTTAAGTTAAAATAGTGACTGGATGTCGACTTATGTGTAAACGACCCCAGAATGGAGTTTTGATGATTTCAATAGCTCCGTATGGTGATATTGGACTTAGGAGCGTGTCCGGAAAATTATTTGGAGTTCCGTAGTGGAATTAGGCTTGAAATACCGAAAGTTGAATTTTTGGAAGTTTGACTAGGGGGTTGACTTTTTGATATCGGGGTCGGAATCCGATTATGGAAATTGGAATAGGTCCGTAATGTGAAATGTGACTTGTGTGCAAAATTTGAAGTCATTCTGGATTGATTTGATATGTTTCAGCACAAGACGTAGAATTTAAAAGTTCAAAGTTCGTTGATTTTGAATTGAGATGTAATTCGTCATTTCGATGTTGTTAGGTATGATTTGAGGCCTCGAGTAGGTCCGTGTTATGTTATGGGACTTGTTGATATAGTTGGTTGAGGTCTCGGGGGCCTCGGGTGAGTTTCGGATAGTTAACGGATTGAGTTTTGAGTTAGGAAGACTGCTGGAACTGAAGCCTTCTGGTGTAATTGCACATGCGGAACAATAGTCGCAAGTGCGAGCTCACAAGTATGAGCTCGCAAGTGGGAGATGGGGTGCGCTGAAGCGAGGTGCGCAGGTGTAGAATCGCACCTGCGAGAGAAGGAGCGCAGATGCGGGCAGAGGGCTGTGAGACATTGGTCGCAGATGTGAGGGAAAATTCCGCACCTGCGTGAGCGGAGATGCGGGAGAATGTGTGCAGAAGCGAAAACTAGGCAGGCGAGTGAAGTCCACACATGTGACGTTTTGCTCACACAAGCGGAGGCTCATGTGCGCAAATATTGTCTGCAGATGCGGATTTACTGGGCAGAACCCTTTAAATTCGGGGTTTCGTAATTTTCACCCATTTTCGGATATTTGATCTCGGTTTGGGCGATTTTGGGGAGGAATTTTTCAAAACAACTTGGGGTAAGTGTTGTTGACTCCCTTATGATTATATTTCATGAATTAAATCTTCATTTTTGGTGTAAGATTAGCAAATATTCAAGAGAAATAGAAGGAAATTTCTATAATGTCACAAAACGAAATTTTCAAGTTTGAATAATGATTTGGTGTCGGATTTGAGTGAAATTAGTATGGTTGAACTTGTAATTGGTTGGGTTCTCGTATTTTGTGAGTTTTATCTGATTTCGAGATGTGGGCCCCATAGGTGAGTTTTGCAGCGTAATTTCGGATTTTGTGGAAAATATTAGTACTTTAATATGGTATAAATTCCTATAATTTTTGTGGGCTGAATCAAATTAATTGTGACTAGATTCGAACCGTTTGGAAGTGGATACGCGCAGAATGGGATTTGTGGAGCATTGTTTACCTTGCTCGGCATTGGATTTGGCTTGTTCTAGGTACGTAACTCTTCTAATCTTGGAGCTAAGGGTATGAACCCTGAATATATGTATTATGTGAATTGTTGGGAGGTGACGCACATGCTAGGTGACGGGCATGTGGGCAAGCACTATAGAAATTGTGACATAATTATTTCTGTGGAATCTTGTAGTTAAATAATCTTGGTATTCCCCATGCGGTTTTATGTGTTAAAGAAATTGAGCTGAAAAACATATTAAAAATTATGTTTAGGCTATGTGCCTGTATTTTGGGACCCACATAGGTCGTATTGTTGTGCATTATTTCTTTTAAATTGAAAATTCATACTCAGTCATATCCATTTCATTACATATCAAATCTCAGTCTCTGTTGTTATTCATTGATACATCATATCATCATTTTGGGGCTATTCTCATGACATTGTGAGCCATGAGAGAGAGACTGGAGAGATTGATGACTGAGGGAGGTCGAGGGCCTGATTGTGAGGATATTTTTGGGATCGGGTTGCACGCCGCAGCAGGCCATGTTGGCTTTATATATATTATTACTATTATATGGATCGGGGCTGCCCGCCTGCAGCAGGCCTTATTGGCTATTATGGCACGTGAGTTGTCAGTGCAGATTCTTATATGATACTATAGCATGTGAGTTGTCCGTGCAGCACATGAGTTGTCCATGCAGATTATAGCGCTTGGGATGTAGGAGCCCTCCGGAAATTGTACACACCCCCAGTGAGCGCAGGTACCTATTGAGTGCGAGTGTCGAGTGCTGAGTGGCTGGGAGATGGTGAGGTATGCCCAAGGCGCTGTTTACAAGTGATTGTGAGGTAAGCCCGAGGAGCTGTATACGAGTGATTGTGAGGTCTGCCCGAGGGGATGTTTATGATTTTATCACTGAGTTGCATCGCACTGGCATGCACACATGACATACATGCATAGAGATGTATTTTTCCTCATGTTGTACATCATTCATGATTTCTCACACATTTTTTGACAGATGGGCATAGTGATGCATTTGTTTTTTGCGGGTTATCTGTAAAGAAAATGAAACATCTCATTTATTATTGAAAGGATTTTGGTAAAAAGGTATTGTTTTCAAACATATTCATGTTTTTGGCAACTTCGGCAAACGATTTGGGTTTTCACTGATGTACTTGAAAAGAAGAACTATTATTTTTGAAATCATAATTTAGTTGAGCATTGTATTTCTGAGTTACTTCTTGTACTATTTGCTTTACGTTGTTATGGACTGTCGTGGACTATTAGTTTTGGACCCGACCTTGGTGGAAGCTCGTCACTACTTTCAACCTAAGGCTAGGTTTGTTACTTACTCAGTACACGGGGTCGGTTGTACTGATACTACACTTCTGCACATTGCGTGCAGATATTAGATGTTGTTGCTGTGCTCGATGGTTGCCGGATTTGAAGATGTACCTGCATTCCTATTGTAGCTGCCTCCTGTTCATGGTAGCCTTAGATTTATAAAAGCTCTATTTATGTACTATTCAAACAGACTATCTATTTATTTCATTCCGCTTTGTAAACTCTATTCTTAGAAGCTCATGATTTGTACTATAAGTTCTTGGGGATTGTATAAGATTAAGACCTTTAATTACTTAAATTGCTTTAATAATTATTATTGGAATTGTATTGTTGGTAATTGGCTTACCTAACGGGTTGGGTTAGGTGCCATCACGACTAGTTAGATTTTGAGTCGTGACAAAGTGGTATCAGAGCTCTCGGTTCATAGGTTCTACAAGTCATACGCAAGTGTCTAGTAGAGTCTTGTGGATTGGTATGATGACGTCCATACTTATCTTCGAGAGGCTACAGGGTATTTAGGATATATACTTCCCATTTTTCTTTCCTTATCGTGCGAGATTGATTCAGCTTGAGACATAACTCTTTTATTTTCTTTCGCATATTTGTATGCGCACATGAGCGCTCAGTATCTGTTGTGCATCGCCAGCTTGCGATTCTATGAACGAGGTTCGAGATGTGTATTATGTGTTTTGGTGATGGGCCAGTCTGGAGGACTTGAGGCTAGGTTTAGATCGCAGCTTAAGCTCGGTAGCTTCAGTTATAACTTGTACATTTGGACTCGTATGTCCGGTAATGTCCCTACGAGTGGAATTTGTGGCTCGATGAGCGGTGGAATAGCCTTGTGATGAGTACGATGTAACTGTGGGATGTGTTAAGACGATTTGAATGTGACGAGAAGTGTTTCTTTGAAATATAAAGGAAAGGCCATCGGGTGCTTGATTTTCGTTTTGATGAGACGTACAGTCTCAGGTGTGAATGTTTTGAAGGATCTTTCAAGATTGTTAAATCTTGGGACAAATTAAATTCTCATGTCTGGTTAATGAGTTTGGACTCAGATAGACGAAGTGATTGAATAGTAATTATGACTGCGAAAAAATATAACAAGATGCCAATTTAAGGCTAGGGAGGTGGGTTATCTCCTAGAAAGTAATCTACGTAGGTGTGTTCCTTGTAATGTGAGTGGAGGGTTTCTTTTCTGCCAGTGAGGCGTACGTGTGGAGAGTTGAATTTGAATATGGATGAGAAAGTTGACTTGAGTGTCAAGAGAATGATTCTGATCTTAGCGAATTATTTGGGGTATTTTTATGGTTGGCGTTGTATGAGCTTGAGAAGAATTTTGTTGCACTGACCACGGTATTATGACAGTAATAGATTATAGGTATTGTGGATTATGGAGTGTTTTAATATATGGCTTTGAGCCAAGTGGGGGAGTCTGCTATTGACAATTTGATTTCATGGTTAGGTGTTAAATTTTAATTTTGGTCTAAGGCATACTTATGGGTTAGTTATGACTTGCAGAAGTTGAGATCGAGGATGACTCGAATAAGGAAATTCGTGGTTACAGATTATATTGCACGTATGAGTATATAAAAATCGTGGGATGAGTGAGTTGTTATGGGTGAATGATGTAGTGCGCACGGAGTATGAATTTGATAGGTGGTGTTAAAGTAGAGTTACTTCTTTGAGTGTTGATGTGCTAATAGGGCACGTGTCTTTTGTCCCATT